TTGTGTATAGATACCACATTTTCTTAATCCATTCGTCAGTGCTGGGGCATCTTGGCTGTTTCCATAACTTGGCTATTGTGAATAGTGCCACGATAAACATGGGTGTGCAGGTGCCTCTGGAGTAACAGTCTTTTGGGTATATCCCCAAGAGTGGTATTGCTGGATCAAATGGTAGATCGATGTCCAGCTTTTTAAGTAGCCTCCAAATTTTTTTCCAGAGTGGTTGTACTAGTCTACATTCCCACCAGCAGTGTAAGAGGGCTCCTTTTTCCCCGCATCCTCGCCAACACCTGTTGTTGGTGGTGTTGCTGATGATGGCTATTCTAACAGGGGTGAGGTGGAATCTTAGTGTGGTTTTAATTTGCATTTCCTTTATTGCTAGAGATGGTGAGCATTTTTTCATGTGTTTTCTGACCATTTGAATTTCTTCTTTTGAGAAAGTTCTGTTTAGTTCACATGCCCATTTCTTTATTGGTTCATTAGTTTTGGGAGAATTTAGTTTTTTAAGTTCCCTGTATATTCTGGTTATCAGTCCTTTGTCTGATGTATAATTGGCAAATATTTTCTCCCACTCTGTGGGTGTTCTCTTCAGTTTAGAGACCATTTCTTTTGATGAACAGAAGCTTTTTAGTTTTATGAGGTCCCATTTATCTATGCTATCTCTTAGTTGCTGTGCTGCTGGGGTTTCAATAACTGGTGATTTTAAAGAAATCAGAGAGAATGCAAAATAAACTATAACTCTAGGAGTATAGATAGGTAAATACAATCCTGCTCTTCAGAAATAAATAACACCACAGATTGATGTTATGATCAGTTGCATAAGTCTGGAACAGATCATTAACATATGGCTCATAGGCTATTTGAGAGAGAAGTAGCTGGCAGGAGTAGTTCTCTAATGGTAAGTAATGGCAAGTCTTGCTATCATGGTCTCTTTTCTCAGTTAGCTAGGATTATACCAAGGAGGAAAATGCTTTAGACATTATATGTCTGCATTTCAGAAAAGACTTTGAAGAAATTTACATGTTTTTGGACGGGTTGACCAAGATGATGACCTTGGTGATTCTGAAGTTGATTTAACACCATTGTCCATAAAAGTCTCGAGTAATGGGTCAATGCTGATTTGGAAGACTGCAGATAAAAACACATATCCATTCCTCATCCTGTGCTGGTTATCATTTTTACTCACAGTGAATGAAATATTAAAATACTTTCTTATAATGATGTAAATCATAGATGCTAGGGAGGGCATAGTTAATGAATTATCAGAATCAGAATTCAAAATAATTTTAGGACAAAAATAATAGCAATTAATAATATGAATGAAGATTTTCCATGCACATATTATCTTATTTAATTACTATATTAAAGTACTAATATAACTAATAATTTTCATTTACTACGTGCCTGGAATGTGCCAGAATCTTTGCATAAGTGGTTGCTCTTAGTCTTTCTAAATAGTATATTTATATAGGAATCATTTCTCCCTTTTACAGAAAAAGAAACTGAAGATCAAACAAATTAATTATCTTCTTTTGGTTACAAAAGTGTGAAGTTGCAATTTATAAATAGTTCAGTCTGACACTCAAACTGAAAACTATACTTTTTTTCAGATGAAATGTATCAAGAAAGCATAAAATCATACAAGTAAAGAATGAAGAAGATTTAGTTGAACCATGGTTTATGGGAAAAGGTATGGAAGGTTTTGTTTGCCTGTGAGAACCTATGAATTACCCAGGTGAATGACTGACATCCCCCCAAATGAATAAATAATATCTTGAACTATGGAACAATGCCCAAAACAAAGAAGAGCAACAGTCACACTATGATTTATTGTGAATGAAATATGGTCTTCGGTTCTGGGGTACACATCCTAAGGAAGCATTGTCAATGTGAGCAAGCCTAGGATAATTTGAGCACAATCATAAATATAAGTCAAATGAAAAATGGTTGAAGAAACTATAATGTAGAAAATATGCTATCACTAGTTATATGTAATTCAGACTTGTTAATGCATACTATGGACCAGAAACTATTTTATCATTTAATTCTAATGATAATCTTATGGCATAGGTATTATTATTATTATTATTATTGCCTCTATTTTACAGATGAGGAAACTGAGGCTATGAGAGGTCAAAAAACTCAAGTCTGACTCTTAGTTTTGATTAGAATAGGAGATTAGAAGAGTAATTGAATATATTATTTGGCTGTAGATGGACAAGAACAAATCAAAGAGAGTGCTCTAGAAGAATACAATCTGATTCCATCACAAAAACCCTAACGACTTACATTATTTTAAAAGATATTGCTGAGCTCTCTAATGTTGGATGCTTTCAATCATGATACTTTCTTGTAGGAATTCTATAGCATTGGAAGACGTTAGATAACATGATTTATACATTTCTTCCCAACTCCATAAGCCTATCAGTATCAGCATGATCCTATTTGGTGGGTTAGAGTGAGAGCATTCAAATTTCCAGAATCTTGAATACACTTAGAAAAATATATATTAATTGGAATTTGATTTTATGAACCATAAGTTAATGAAAATGTGTTGCTGAATTATGCTTTTTAAAGTGAGAAGGCAATTTTTTCAAAAGTATTAATAATCAATAACTTCTCCATCCATGAGTGCATACATCTAGACAACAAAGATTTATTTATCACTTATTGTATGTAATCGTGTATCTGATTCCATCTCTGTCTATTGTTACATTCATTTAATGATGAGAAATGTAAGTGATTTTGCCCATATTCCATGGCTAGGAAGAGCTGAGAAAAGACCAGGAACAGGTTTGTCAAATCATGCTTTTCCCAGTGTACTTCTTCCCTATGAAAACAATGTATAGAATGTATTTTGCAAGTGATTTGAATAAAAAGGGTCTCTGCCTTATTTCTTGGGTCATTAGTTCACCAAGCACTAGTGGATACTCCTTTTGCTAAGGACCAGCATAGTGCCTATTGGTGAGGAGCACCAAGATTAAAAAAAGCGACCACGTAGAAACGATTGTCTTATCTTGGAAGGGTTCAGTGTTGAATGTGGAGAAAAATCCGAAAACAGACAACTGCAACTGAGTAAGAAGAACTGAGTGTTCTATTGCCTATGATGTACGTTCTTTTCATCTTCTTATTAACTGGGGATTTACTGTCATTGACATCCACATTTATTTAACAAATGTTTGAGCATTAACTCTACCAAGTATGGTGCTAGGAGTGCAGAAACAGGAGAATGTGCCGACACGGTCCCTGCTTTCATAGGTTACCATTGGCTTGGACTCCTCGGTTCTGACCTGGCTCTTCTTAAAATTTCCATTTAGGAACCTTGAGAAACTGTAGAGTCCCATCTTACCTGGAAGTTAGGTAAGCACTTAGTGGAAAAGATCAAACTAGGACACAATTAAAATTTCTGTTGAAAATCACTATACTAACCATGCCATGTCTTGATGGGTGTATGATGAATGTTTGCAGACAGTTGGGGGAAAGTCCTGGCTCTAAGCAAGAAATTTTTGGTTCTGAAGCAATGGTTCTCTACTCTAATTGTACATTAGCATTCCTTGGGGAAATAAATTTTAAATGTGATGTCTAGGGCTATTCCCAAGACCACTTTTATCAGAAATCTAGGAGGAGAATGGGGTCCAAGTATTGGTATTTTAAAAAATATTTATTTTCCACAAGATTCTCATTTATACCAAGGGTTAAAGACCCCTTCTCAGTAGAAAATGGACTGATTTACAACTGTAGGCATAATAAGTTTCACCTGTAGCTATTCTTACCTATTCACTTTGTCACTTAATCAGTAGGATCTCAAAGATGGTGAGGTGCAATCAGAAATCAGGGATGGTGGAAAGTCCTGGAAACATTGTCTCTACAGTTAGTAGGCAAGCTGATTCTGTAGTGTTGGTCCATCCTCACTTGTTGTAATAAAGAAACAGAATTTTAGCTTATTGAGAGTTCTTCCAGAGCAGACTCCCTTAATGGCCCCTAAACCACTTGTAGGTGGTTAAATTAGTAAGAGCCACCCACTGATTCTTACAACCTTTCCTACCACTCACAACACACCCCTCAGGATAAATCATTTTTAAATGCTAAGATTTCAACAAAACATTTAAGTATTCTACTTATGACATTGAAATAGTTCTTTCTAGAAAGAAAAGCATAGCCATATACTCAGCAAAAGACTCCATGGATCACTGACAAGACTATGAGTGTTCACTCCTGCTCTGTGGATTGTGGTTTAAGATGGCTCTTCCAAATTAGATTTTTCATGTGTCAAATGAATCAAGAGGGGTCTCTCTGACTACATTATATTAGTGCATGATGATTCTATGATTCCTTTCCTAGAGGTCCCAGACACGATGAGGTTGCCTTTTACTTATCTAGTAGATTTAAACTCTTCAGATTCTTAAAGAAGTAGAAGGAAGTGGTTCAAGATGAACAAAGCAGTTTTGTTTGTTATCCTTCACCAGCCCCTTCCTGTACTATTGAGCTGGGTGAACAGCTGCTAAGAAAAAAGTGAAATGTTCCAAGTGACAGGACTTCTGGACACAGATTGTGAAGCTTCAGTTATGATGCTGGCTGGGAAAAGTGGTTGGTTTTTTATGGGGTATCAAAGGAGAAAAGAAAGAGAGAGAGATAGAGAAGATTTAATACATCAGAACTAATCACAAAATAATTGGGCCTATAGTCTAATCTAATCATGCTTTTGTTTATTCAGCTCATATAAAAGTCTCTTAAGAATGCATTTGAGCACAATATATAATAATAATAATAATAATAATATGACATACACTGTAAGAAACTTTTGGAAAACAATATAATGTCCACCTGAAACAATGCAGTGTTTACAGACATACAAACCCATTGGTCATGCACATTTGTGCCATTTTCTTTAACTATGGAGTCACAATGCTGAACTGAAGCATGAAACATTTTACAACTGAAACTGACACCAGGAAGAGGCCTAACAAATGTCAGAAGAAGCTTCACATTTGCATAATTTACTACATCAGTTCACATTTTATTATAAAATTCACATTGTTTTATTGTTTTCTTTCATAATGAATTGGAACATGACATTCTGCTTAATGGCAGGCAGGAGGCTAGCTTTCCAAAGTCAGTAGTTTGGGAATACTCAAAAGAATCCTCTGTGAGCAAATGTAGTGTTGCTTTTTTGAATCGAAGCCACAATTATAGTAGAACCCAGTTATAACCCAACTCATGTGTCCACAGATTTGGATAAAACATGGGTAAAAACTACTTCCCATTGCCCCCTAACCCTATCAAACTATACAAAAGTAAAAGCTCAGTATAAACCATTTAGTATCCAATGTGAGAATCCTGTTGCAAAACCGGTTCATAAAGGGCTTGTGCAGAATTAGCAAGTCAGACAGGGAAAGGGAAGCCCCTCAGAACAGCCCATCCCTGTCCTCACCCCTGAGGGGGTCATGCCATATGTCTTTCTTAAGCAATGCTTGGGTTATATAATACACAATACAAAATGTTACAAGTAAAAGTTGCAACTCTTAGGCAGAGTTTTCTACACAAATTTAACACCACCATTGGCAGGCAATGTTAGATATATAAATTAATAACTTACAAAACATTACAGTATATACATTAAGTAATAAATACATGGTTATAAACAGGAATGGAGGTTGGTGCTAGCGCAGAAGGCAGTGCAAGAGAAAGACGGCAGCATTAAGTTGAAACAGTATAACTGGGCAAAGAGAGTTGCAGGACAGGGGACTGTGCAACTCACAGAGGGCCAGGACACAATAGGGTACGCTGTCTTATTCAGCTATTACACAGACTGTTATTGCAAACAACATGACTATCCCTTCCTACCCCCTAGTTTGTTCGTTTTTATTCTGCTTACAGCAAAACAGTGAAACTTCAGAGAAAAAATACTGTTCAAAGCAGGCAAACAGATCTAAGTTACAAGGGCCACAGTGGAGTTGGACTGGAAAACAGGGGAAGGAAGTAGAATGTGGTTAGAAGTGTGTTCTTTCTGTCTGTTTGCAAAAGTTAACTGTAGTAAAGCAAAAAATATTGCCCAAGAATGAAGGAAGACTGTTTTCTTTCCTTTTTTTTTTCCAGAGAGAGTCCAAAAAGTTTGTCAACTTTAAACACTCATCTGTATAGAAGTTGGTACTAAACTCTAGATATTCAACAGGCATTTTAAAGACATGAAAATGTTTTACAAAAAAGGCACACAGGTTGGCAGACAAGAGGACAGGTGAGCAGATTTATAAATGAAGTTATTAGTGAGTTCAGTCACTAGTTGAGACAGATTCCCAGAACTTAGTGCAGAGAAATCTCTCGGTTTTGTATCTTCCATTTCAAGCCATTTAGTTGTGATGAGAACTGGCCTCCACTACCACATAAGCTTCAGCTCTCTGCCAAGCTTGCAAGTGAGGCAAGTCAACCGTGGAATTTCCTGAGCTGCTATTTGCTTCATGGGCTTGCATTCTGGCTCCAAACTCAAGTAACTGGAAAGGCCAGGAGGCCTTTGTCCTGTGTAGGCCTCAGCCCCCATAGCAGGCTGGCCCTACCACACAGCTGGCATGCTTGTCAAGGGTGGAATGTTCATCTCTACACAGAGAGGGAGATTATGTGTCAACTGGGAACTTGTCTTCTGTTGCAAGGTCTATGTCAGTCTCTCCCAGTGACTCCTTATTTTCTGGATCAATCACACAAAGTGTCTTTGTGCTGCTGAAATAGTTGTGGCCTTCTCCCTCCTTTTCAGGTCCTTCAGAATCCTCTTCTTCGAGGGTCAGTTCAAATTGAAACTTCTCCATCAAACCCTGGCAGTCTCTATTCCTCTCGTCCAGTGGTGGAGAAGGACTCTGTGGTATCATGCTCTGATACCAGTTCCTGTTATCTTCCAATGTGTCTAGAATGTCTTGAGCATCAGGCTGTACAAGATCTGCCCAGGTCTCCCACAGTGGATGGACAATGTAGTCAATGAAACCAACCTGGAGGAAAATAAAGATTACGCATCTGTTATTTCAATGAGCCCTTGAAAAGCAAATAAGCTATTCTGGTTTCCATGCAAAGATCCAGCAATAATAACCTGAGAGAGATCAATAGCAATGGATTCCTACATTTGAGCATTCACTGTATGGTAGGTCCTTCACTGTATGCAAGATCTCTCTTAATTCTGCAAAGTAAGTACTGCTGCCTGCCATTTACAAAGGAGGAAGCTAAGACTCACTGAGATTAAACATTTTGTAGAGGTCACATACCTAGTGAGGGACAGAGTTGGCACTTAGGCCCAGCTTCATTTAATACCAAAGCTTAGGTTCATCTCCCTGTAATACACTGCTTTTCCTTCTATATATGCCAGATAAGAAGTCTGGATGCAATGCTAGCTGGAAATGACTTTGTCACTACTTAGATTCTGTGAGTCATTCTCTGAAGAAAGCCCCAAATCTAAAGTGTTCTGACTCAACATTCTTTCCCTGATAACTTCAAAATATACTGCTGTGTCAAAATGACAGGAGCTGCCCCTTAACTACTCTAGACTACTCTGGAATTTGTCAAGTTCTGCGAAATGCATTTGGCTCATAGAGGAGTTTGATAAAACACTTGAAAATCATTCAAGCTCTATACAAACAAATATCCCCTCTGTGAACATGCCTGCTATTGTTTGGGACCCATAAGACACACAGTCATTTCCATCAGAAAAAGAAGGAAAAATAAAAACAATTAGGCAGTTCCTTCTGCTGGTGTTCCTATGAAGAAATCTCAGGCTTATGGCTTTGTTATAGTTTACACAGGGGCTATGCATCCTGCATAGCTAGCTAGGTGGCCTTATGCTGACCTCTACATTGTCAGACAAACAGGAAACACTGGGGGTGGAGGCAGGTAAAGAGAGAGAGAGGACAGGCACAGTTGAATGAGGGAATGGAATTCCCCTGTCATGGTCTGGGGAGCTGGAGAGATGCTGTGTTGAGATTCAGGGGGAGATGAGCAAGGGTCCCCATGGGACCCTATATAGAGATCTTTCCACTCCACTGGAAACTTTCCCTATTCACATTCTGGTGTTCAGTCAGTCATCTAATATATTCAAGTTGTACTGTATACAAGATCCTTGGTCATATGCAATTCTTTCATACTCCTGTGTGTGTGTGTGAGCATGTGTGTGTGTATTCTTTCCTATGGATCTCTTCTAGCCCTACCAAAGAAAACAAGACTTGCATCAGCGTTGGGGCATCTCTGATTGGTATTGGTTACAAGATCTTGACTGAATGATTCGCATATTTCTCTTGCTTCCACCTACTCCATTTTCCTCCCTTTTACTTCTTTATGTGTGTTTAATGGATTTTAGATGGTATTTCAAGGTGTTTTCTAGGGATCAGAAATAAGTTTAAGGTATTGGAGAAAACTGAGTAAGCTGAACACAGCGCAGCCATTTCCTTTCTTCATTAGCTTTGTTTCTGATAAGAAATGTTTAGGACTTTTCTTTTTTTAAAAGGCAGTTGCTAGTTGCTTATTTCCTAGATCATGGGATGAGAGAACTCTGCAAATCCAAAGAAGACCCAGTCCAGACTTTTTGCAAGATGAATCAGACAGAGTTCAACAGAGTCCATCTGTGGGAAACACAGATGATGTCATGGCAGCAGGGAGACTTGGCCACAATGGTGGAGACTGAAAAGCTTTGGGTAGAGGATAGCTGGATCATTAAGAAAGTAACAAACTGGACCAAGAAAGACAGCTTCTTCACCTAACACTGGACAAATTCCTGCTTTATCTACCTCACAAAGGTAGATATTATCAAACTCCTACTTTAGCTACCTCACAAAGGTAGATAATATATGGAAAATCATGTAGAACATCATACAAATATTAAACATCCCTGTTTGGAAAAAAAGATATATTCTTTATATCTTGTTCTAGTTAAAGCTTTAGGGCATTTGAATTGGCCTTGATTAATTTAACAGTATCTTGCATTTTTATAGCATTTAGACTTCAGATCACTTTCACAAATATTAAACTCATTTAGTGGAGTTTCCCTAAAAAGCAACAAAATACTAATTGAAAAGGAAGGATACATTTATTGTGCAAATCTACACAAATAGGGAGTTTTTAGGTAGTGGGGAAAGAGTGTAGACACTAACAAAAACACTACCAGTTGTTTTGTATGTGTGTGATAAAGACATTGAACATTCTATGAGCCCATTCTTAATCATGACACTTGGTTAATTTGTTGTCCTGGATAAAAATGACACTCTATCCTTATAGGGATACTGATACTTTCTAGTGCCACATATTATGCAGTTATTTGTACCTGGGGAATTTCTGTGTGCATGCGCGCACACACACACACACACACACACACACACACACACACACACACCACAGTACTATTTCTCATCCTTACAACACAGAGAATTTATAGATTTTGGCACAACCAGCAAATGGTCAAATGTCCCTAAAGGCATTGAAGCAACCTTGGAAAGAGTCACAGACAAGGCTTTGATTACCTCTTATGAGGATAGCAGTGTGTTTGATTAGGGAGAAATAGCAACAATTGAGAGTTGGAAACAAGAGTGAGGAGTTTAAGCTCCTTGATGAAGACTGAACTAGGAGACATCTGGAGTGATGGGATGGAGGAGACAGCAGTATGTATGTGTCAGCTGGATTTGCTAAGGTCATAGACAACCATCTAAACAGTTTGGGGATACCAATCTCTGATGAGTTTCTGATGACTCCTCAATACCCACCCTGTTAAAGTGAGTGTCATGGAGAAGGCAAATGAGTCATGAGAGCTGGAAACCGGTGGCTCACGCCTGTAATCCTAGCTACTCAGGAGGCAGAGATCAGAAGGATCTCGGTTTGAAGCCAGCCTGGGCAAATAGTTCTGCGAGACCCTATCTCGAAAAACCTTTCACAAAAATAGGACTGGTGGAGTGGCTCAACGTGAAGGCCCTGAGTTCAAACCCCAGTACCAACAACAACAACAAAGATGTGTCATGAGTATAATGGAACTAAATGTGTAGCTGCTTCTTTATCATTTCATATATATGTAAGTAGATATATTCTTTTAAAAGAAAGGAATTAGATAGAACTCTCCAGTTCAACAATCAGTACAGCTCACAAAAAAGCTTTGAAAACAATCTCACTGCAGATACCTGGGATTTTTCCACAGAAGCTGTGTGTTTATCACACATTGGGCTAATCTCCATTCCCCTCTCCCGTTCTTTGTCTCCCTGTTGGAAAAACTCCTCCATGATGCGATCTGTCCATTGCCGATACAATTCCAAGGACTTGGTGGGGTTGCTCAGGTCTGCACAGTGTACCATGTTGCGAAGAACCTGAAATCACCAAGTTTTGGAAATCCTATAAAATTAAGTATAAGTACTCTCAGAACATCTTATCCCTCTCTTCCTAGAACACTTGGTACAAACTCAAGAACATTTGGGTTACATTATAATTATGAGGCATACACCAAAAAAAGTAGTACCAGCCAACATTGGTTATTTATCATTACAGGATTCCAAAGGGAAATACCTGTATCTTCTTAGAGTGACAGTCTTTGAATTTAAAAATTGAAAGGGACATTAAAGGTCAGACGCTGCTATCATTTTCTTTGCTCAGTTTGGAAAGTATGCAAAGAACTAGCCAAAGCAGATGTCATCAGGTTTTCCATTTGCAAAAAGAAGAGACCAGCTCATGGCAATTGGTATAACCAAAACAGATCTAACAAACTTTAAGTCAGTGGGATTTAGATTCAGACACAAGTTTTCGGGACCAACAGACACATGGGTCCAATTACAAATAGATATTGCAACTTGTTTTTAGAACTAAGCAATTCATTAAACAGGTCATGTTTTTTCTCTTAAATTGGACGATACATTTGAATGCTCATTTTTCTTAGTTTGTGCTTTTCATTTGGCAGTACTGGGATTTGAACTCAGGGCCTCATACTTGTTAGGCAGGTGCTCTTACCACCTGAGCCACCCCACCAGCCCTCTTAGCTTGTTCTTAATATAAGCCCAAAGCTGCAGTAGTAGCCTAGATCAATGAAACTGTCCAAACTTATACTTTCTTTTTCTAAATATTGTTTAGTTTTGTTTGGCTTAGCTTTGTTTTAGACCAGAGACTTTCATCAAATACCTGTATACGATCGGTATAGTTGTCCAGGAGAAGAACGCCAGAGCTGGTGACTTTCTTCGTTTCTACCATTGTTTTCAGGTCTGCCAGCAAGCTCATATGTTTGGACATATCAGTTGCTAACACCTTGGGTAAAAACAAAATGAAGCTCTTAACAAATTCAGTCAGAGGATTGTGAGAGAATGATAAGAGCAAGTGAGAAATGTGGGGTGGCTGAGGTCTTACCATGTCGATCACCATTTTCCTGAGTGTCTGACGCTGCTTCTTGGTGAGGTTCTGGAAGATGTCACAGTGTTCTTCCTGTAGCAGTTTGAACCCTACCGCAAGGTGATGGTTTTCCAACACAGATTCATCATTATACATCAAAGCAAGTTCTGAATCTAAGAAGTTTAAAAAAGTGATGACTTAATACAAAATACAATAAAAAAGTATGCAATTCAAACACTGGCATTGCCTCAATGAGAAATCAAATCTAGTTCTCCAAATTATTTCAAGGTCACTGCCTCCTAGAGAAGCAGTGTCCCTCTACAGACAGAAGTGGTCAGTTTCTAAACAAAAAATGTTTGTGGGAGACACTGGTGTGTAAACTTTCTCTTTTATTAAAGTTCATGGTCTTAAAGTTCTGTTCCTTTTTCATCTCAGATGAAGAATTTTATGTCAGTCTGTAATTTCCTTTATGTCTTCGTACATTTTGTGTTTGGAAAAGAGCAAAATAAAAATGCCACTAAACTTTATGTGTATTAAAATTTTTCAAATTATATTCACTTTTATATAGGCTCCCCATCCTCTGGCAATTTTGAGTTATGGCTCTTCAAAAAAGATAATGTGTTAGTATAATTTTTTACTCAAATAATGTATAAATATGATCTATAAACAAGATAACTAAACATTAATATCTTTGGAAAAATTCTAGCATAGAATTTTCTGTCTGCTGGCTCTCTACGTCAGAAATTGCAATATTTAGGTATCCAAACTACAGTTTCCAGCTTGCTTTTTGTACTAAGGAATCATAAATATCTCCACACCTGGGAATATGGTCATTAAATTAAAGAAAGTGCATTTTTCTCTTAATTAAGAATAATTAAGCCAGGAGTGGTGGTGCACACTTTTAATCACAGCATTTTGGAGACTAAGGCAGGAGGATTGTAAGTTTGAGACCAATCTGGGGTACATAGTGAGACTGCCTCAAAAAAAACCAAAAACGAAACCTGCTAAGTGATGGTAACTCATAAGTAACCGCAGGTGCTGCTACTCACACAGCATTGCCATAGTAGTGTGCTTTGAGATATGTCCATCAACAGGGTGATAGACTCTCTGAAGTCATTTGAACACCCCTGTTCTGTTCACCCTGAGATCAAGGGCATATATTCACAAGAAGAACCTTGTATGTTGTAGTGATGTTGATGGCTGTAACAGAAAGACTATTTTCCTATGTGGAGCTATTTGACCTGTATATGGATTAATTCATGGCACCACAGTAAAGCAGCTGATATAACCCATGCAGACAAGTAGATGCCCAAAGGTTTTTTTAGAACAGAAGAACAAGGTTTAAGTAAAACAGTGTGCCCCGAACTTAGATTACTCAGATATTCTGATGAAAAAGGATTAGGACTGATAAGGAAATTTTTTTTATAGCAAGATGCTCAAAGAGCCTTTGTATGAAACTGTCAATGCTTTATGTCAGTGATTGTAACAGGATAACCAGTGTTCTCAGAAGAAAAATTACTTAGATTTTCAGCACATAGAGTTAACACATTAACTGAAAGAATGATGAATTTTCAGTAGCATGAAACCCAAGCATTTTGAGCATGACAAAAGCTTTGAATATGGTTTGAGATCCTAAGGTTTGACCTACCCTGAAGGTTACTAGGTTGTGCCTCTTCACTACAGACCAATCCATAATCGAATATATGCAATTCGAAGAGAATGTGTGGAGAACTTTTAGTGACCCTTTCTTCTGAATTTTTGAAACCCATTCCTAAGCTCTTTTGAAGGTTCCTATGCCCAGAGCCAACATTTGTGCCATTCTCCAGTACAGAAGGAAACCAGTGGGTTACTATGCTGTGTTTGAGAGCCCTGCATAATACTGAAAGTTATTATCATATCCCCAAGCTTTTCCTTGTCTTCCTGGATAATTCCACATCTGTTATATTTCCCTTTCATATTGTATTTTCCAAACTTTGAGTACTTTTTATGGTTTCCCTCTGACCCTCTCCAAATTGTCTGTGCAGCTCAAACGTTGTGTTGCCAGACTGGACACAGTATCCAGGAAAGGCTTGAGTGGAATGGAAGGATTACCTCATTACTGCTCTTGTTATTACCATAATGAAAACATCAAGAGGAAAACACTGCAGTGAATCACACAGTTATCTTGAATGACTATTCTAGTGGTGAACTCACTTGTGTTGATGAGAAACTGATTGGAGACTCCAGGATGATCAACGTCATGGATGGCAGCTGCAAAAATGGCAGCCAGGATCTCCAAATCTGTGAAGACAGCCTGGGGAGCAAATTGAACACATTTAACTCCAGATCCAATTTGCTTTTCCTGCTTGTTCATTTCAAAGTGCCCCATTTTATTCTTGTTGGGAGAGGGATTGCTGACTTAAATATCTTAGGATGTGAATTTAATTAAATGTAGATTTTGTTTATCACCAGAAAGTCTCTGATGTGAGAGGGATGACGGCCAGACCTCATTCCCACATTGAGCCTGCAGGCTAAGGCTTGGAAAGTCATTAGCACGATGCTCTTGGTGTGTGTGAGCAACTGATGTTTGTTTCACAGATCAGGGGTATGGCAGCATGGTGCTATGTAACACAAGCACATACAAGTTAAAGAAGGAAGTCAGAGTGGCTCTGCTTGGAGATACAATACTCTTCATATTCCAGCTGAATATCTTAGGAGAAAAAGTCTAAACTCCAGACTCCTAAGATAAGTCATAAATTTACAGTGTAGTCACAAGCTGCCATTAATTCATTAATTCATGGATTTAATACATACCTACTGAAAGTTTACTACAGGCAAGATTTGAGAGCAATCCTAAGAAGTAAAACCTAGTGCCTTATTGCTACATCATAAAGTCTTCCCTGTCCCACCTCATGTGCAATGATTTAAACATAGCATTTATTAGGTATATATTGCTGCTAATTCTAGGACAGAAATGTCTTTCCTTATTCTTTGTGATTACTTAAAGTTTCTGCTGCTTCAAATGCCAGTTCATTTTCTCTTTCTCCCAAAAAGTCCAACCCTATTGTTAATAACCAAGGACACATTGCAATCTCTTTATTTCTAAAAGATAGTGATGCTCATGGTTAATTTATGGCCACAGAAAAGGTATTAATAACATAAGTCATTAATCTGTGTGGGAAAGAGTGACAACAACCTCTTCAGACCTTTTCTGGTTACAAGGAACACTGTACTACCTTGCTTCAACATTATTAATTTCTCTGCTACAGATTCTCGGTCATTTTTCTTCAACCTAGAGAATCTGTTTACTGAATTTCTAAGACAATAGACCTTTAGATGCTTATTCTCAATAAGAACCATGCACAGCATTTTATACTATATTTCTGTGATATTCTCCATAGGGCCTGGGATGGTGACAGGCAATTCGAATCAGGATATCGAGGATGTACTATGTACCAAAATACTAAACAAGACACATGGAGATAACTGTGTCCCTAACCAGGAATACAACAAAGAGTAAAGCATGGATTCTGTTAATTGTTTGATAATTAATTTGTAATTTTCAATTGGAAGAGATGTAAAGGGAAGGTTACTATGATATTAGCAAGTAGAAGTGTCATCCATTTTTATAAATAACCAAATTGATGGTTACCATACCTAATAAAGAACCAATTCAAGTATTTGGGGTCAGCCATCCAATTACATTATTTTTGTAAACACATTGCATATTGTGTGGCACTTTTTAAAGAGGATGGGCAAGAATACAAGACAGATCATACTACTCACATCTAATGCTGGTGTAGAAAGAAGAACATGGGTTGACTGGGCTACATCAGCAGCGTGCAGGCTGTTATGATATGCCACATCAGAATGGTAATGATCTTCCAAAGTCATCATGTAGGTTACAAATGTGTCAGATGAGATTTTGAACGTCTTCAGGAGGTCTCTTTCCTATGTAATAAAATAAATTAGAACATGAAAAAGTGAGTTCCAAAAACAGAGGAAGGTTAAATCATAAAAATAAACTGGGATGGAAGAAAAATCAAGATGAGCCATTTGGATAATCAATATTGGCTCCTGTAGCCTACCTGAAATATGGCGTACATGATGCATGTCAGGGGTCGATTATGTGAATATCCAGCCACATTGAAGATATTAAGGCCCCATTTGTTCAGGTCTTCCAGCTCCTGTATCAAAAATTAAAAGAATTTAGGAAAAAAGATAGTTTTAAGTGTTTTGAAGTTTATGGTGAAATTTATCTTTTGGAAAAATGGCTGCCCAACTCTTTAGAGGGCCTATTTACAGTGCTCTAGTTACATGAAAATCTGAAAATGGAATGGCTCAGGTGGTTTGGCATCCCTTTCACAATAAAACTATGACTTTCTGCACATATTTTCCTTTTTCAAAACTGACAAGTATATATCTATTTCTAAATTTAGTTGTTGACCTATATTTTCTATGCCACTGTCCTCAACCAATGTTGCTTTCAAAGGTAGCCTAAGTGCATAGAGATCACTCTGTTCCTACTTCCCTGTCTCTTCCCTTGCTACTCAATGGCCTACCAGTCACAGCTAGAAAACAGTGTCAGGGAAGCTCCTCTATCCTTTGGTTATTATCACTGACGTCAGGTCAGGGAGATTCAGCTGTCAAACTGTGCCAAAATCAACTCCAGTTTAATGCAAAGGGTCATTAGAAGAATGACAGTCCTGAATTATATCCTAGGGCTGCTGAGCTACAGATAGATCTGGAGGAAATATCAGTTCAGACCTGTGTTGTGGGATTATTCCAAGATTATTGCATTGAAGGAATAATTTGTTTCTTTCTGAATAACTGCCCAGAGGATTGGCCCAATGTCTAATCAATTCAGAAGACCACACCAAATGTCCTTTACTCAGAGGAAACTCATTTTATCCTCTCTCAAAACTGTGAGAATTTCAAGTTATTTTGCACAGCCTCGTACAGGACAAATGAATTCTTTCTGTGCCTTCCTCTACTACTGGAGTCTGAACTCAGGTGTCAGTACTATCTCTGTCTTTTCATTTCTTCTCCAGCTTGCCAATCAGAGCAGATTTTTCCGTCGATCCAAAATATCCTCTGTCATAATTCAGAATTACCTCCTGGCTTTCCCTTGGCCTTTCTAGGTTCTCTTCAGTAGGACGCTCCATCTATGAGGAACTGTTCACGATTGAATCCAAACCAGGACCAAAAAAAGGTGTCCCAACATTAGATCAGCTTCCTTATCATAAAAATTGAGCAACAAAGCCAAAGTGATCTCTTCTACTTTCTGAATGTAGTTGGGCATATATGTGCTATAGAGAGCTGCACACACACGGGCCGAGCTCAGACAAACCTTAGCCAGGTGATCTTCATTTTCGGTATTGACTCCAAAGCGTGAGATGCTTGTATTGTTTAAGCTTGAACTGTGCATCAGTTTCTTCACTCCACTTATCTGTGTCATGAGCTGTTGCTTCTTCTTTTTCTCTCTGTCTTTTTGAGTGGGAGATGGAATCTCCACATCATTCTGCTTGTCTGTAATAGACAAAGAGATTTGTTTTTCAGCACTTGTGTGCCAATGAACATATGCAGCAATATTCAAACTGACTTAAACCATATGTAATAAGCTTTGAATCTTATGAAGGACTCTCATAACGACCTCAGTAGATCTCCGGGATAATCCTGTGAAGTAGGTGAGGAAAATATGATTTAATGCTGCATGTTATTACTAAATAAACTAAGGTTTAGAGGATCTGGGTAAATTGTTCAAGAAGTGACCCACTAGGATCCAAGCCCAGCCTTCTGTTGTTTAATGTAATTTAGGAGATTTATACTTCCAAACTTTCAAGGTGAAGCATCAATACTTACATGTAGATTTTTTCATTAAGGCAAATTTATGTAATAATGTCCATTGGTTAAACTCATATTAATTAAAACAAGCTTTATGTTCTCATCTTATTATATTTTCAATTTAAAAAATTCATGACTTTAGCTAAAATCAATTTAAATGAGCAATGTATATGTTAGAAAACAAATGGTTCACATTCTTCAAACAGTAACGTTAAAACTTTGATTTCTTACAATTTTTGTCTCTTCATTCCACTAAAAAATAAATACTCTCATTTGTGGTAGGCAATTATACTTACTAACATATTTATGCTTATGGAATAATTGACATATTTATTATCCTCTCACTTAATATTTAAAAATTGTCATAAGGCAATGGCAGAGCTAGCATTAGGGAAAATGTCTACCTTCTTGTAGAAGCTCTTTCCTTTACATGCTATTAAAAATATCAACAACCAAATATCCTATTTCACCTCCTAGGAAGATGCATCCTGAGTATTCCTGTCAGAACTCATTAACTCTTTCAGGCCACAGGGATGTCTGTGAGTACTCAGAGGCAATAACTGATTCAATTACTATTTCATTGAACTAAATGACCCCCTGTGGCTGAAAGAGTTAATGCAGCTTTCACAAGTGCCCACATCTATCTCTGCATGATACAGTGAAAATTAGCGCAAAGATAACTCCATTTGAACATGACATGCTTCCAGATGGCACCCTGGGATCTAGACTATTTACTCTTAGGCTCTTGCAGATGATGGCACAGTCACATGTCATCCCCAGGGACTTCTGCCTATTTACAGGCCCTTGTGGCCACTCCATCAAAGCAAAGCAAGCACAGTGAGACAGGACCAGCTTCCTTTGCACCTTGTCACCTGACTGTCCAAGCTCTAGTATGGCCTCTAGTTACCCACAGGCTCCTAAACTATGACTTTTGCTTAGGGAGGAATTTTAGTCATCTCATATAGTTTGGGGATTGCCAACCTAATCAGGAACACCCAGAAAACTTTAAAAAAAAAATACAAATTTATGGGTCCCACCCAGCCCCACTGAACCAGGATTTTTACAAAGATTCCCTTATGACTTAAATGATCAGAGGCAGGTCTGGAAATCGATAACAATACCATACTCTCATTTTTCAAATGAAGTCAGCAACTTTCCCAAGCTTAAAGAACAATTTATTTTACAGATATTTATTCTGCAATTACTTTGTTCAGACGTAATGATTTAGATGGACGGCTTTGAGGTTCCCATTAAAAATCTCTTTCCTGACACACAGTCTCTGGAAGTGGAAATGATAAGCATATGATTTTTGAGATGACTTTTCTTCCTGTCACTTCATTTGTAATAATCACTACTCTTTACTAAAATGAAAGAGCACAACAGCCTCTGCCTTTCCTGACCACCATTCTTCACATCAGGGTACAGAAGCTGTTAGATCCCCTTGCACCTCTGCAGATATAACTACCTCTGGCGGGTCCAGCAGCTTTCCTCCTCTGTTTAATTAAAGATGGCCTGTGACAAGGAGTTACTGAGCCGAACCACAAAGAGTGCCAGCTCAATGCTCATGGCTGTTCCCCTATGCAGACATTGGAACAACTGATAGTCTTCCCTATTCTGAATTTCCTCTGTTAAATGCTTAGCTAGCACAGTGTGGAAAAAACCTGAAACACAGACTCAAGAAATGGTGAGAAACACTTACTGGATTTGCATTTACAGGATGGTCAGAATACAGTGAGAAAGCAGTTGGTAAAGCAAAGAAAAAACAGATTCAAAAACTGATCCCATCCAAACACTGCTAGGGTATAATTGGAGGTACCTTGCTTGCTAGGTCTCAGCATCATGTAATAATGAAAATTTCTGAACTCTTTCCTTCCTATCTTAGGAGTTCCAAGTTCCAGCTTTTGAGGTGTTGAGTAGGGGATTTAAGAGGGTAATTTTTCTCTGTCTGCTAAAACAGTAGCTAACTTGTAAAACAACATTTAAAAATCTTGTCTTATTTATGCTTTCTCTACCTATCTTTTGCTTTATTTCCCCTGAAATTAGATACTTCAATTTCCATTTGTCTAGGCAACCTGGACACCATTATCATATAATAGCATCAATAAGTGCCTGGACTGGTCTATTGCCTGCCTTTCTGCCTATCCACCTGGACATCATCTTTTCAGATGGGAACAACATAAGTTTCACAGATCTCTGGTTTAAGGGATTTCCCTCCTCCCCAGATGACACATTTAACTCTCAATGAATCTTGCTGAGATACTGCTTTTAAGTTTAACATAATTTGCTGAGGTCATCTCATTTTGCTCTGAGATGATATATTTACCATGTTCTAACCACAGTCTTTTATTTTACTAAAAACTGTAAAAAAATTTTATTTTTGGTACAACTATCCTGATTTTTTTTTTATTCACTTGTGCATACATTATTTGGGTCATTTCTCTCCTCTGCCGCCCTCCCCCACTCTGATTCTTAAAGACATTTTCCCTAGAATAATATACATATTACTTAAACAACCTTAAATATGTTTTTATTCTCTATGTTCTGAGTTCTTAATAGAAGTGATAGGGTATTCAGATCTAAATGTCAAGAGAGCAGTGTCCTAATTCTGGCTCAGAAACAGATTGGCCAAGCGACCTTGATCAAGTTACTTCATTCTTCTGGACCTCAATTTCCTTTCCTGTAAAACGAGTAAATTGTATCATGAGGACATTAAAGTCAACTGTAGATATGACAATTTAGAAGAAGGCTTCATGCCCCTCCAGACATACTCGCCGTGTTCCCAAGATAGGACTAAGTGTTCCATTCCTGCATTTGCAGTTTGGAAATGAGTTTTTGTGCATTTGTTTGTTCACTTATTTTTTAAGATTGTCAAATTGCAAGCATGGTATTCATGGCAAAAGATCCAGGTAGCAAAGTATGTATCAGTAATGCTGATAAACTCAGTCCATGTCAGAAACATAGAATGCTACACTTGAAGATGGGATATCATCTATTCCAGTGCTCCCATTTTACAGATGAAGCAAAAGATGCATCTTGTGTTTATACAATTTTTTTCTATCTTTCCCCAAGAATCTTTAAAATTTTAATCTGCCTACCTAGTCTGTTTATTATGCACACATCACTCTCCTAATGTAAGAGTATGGAATTATTAGGATTCAAATAACTTTTCTCAACAATTTGCTATTGATAATTTAACTTTCAGAATACAGAGAAGCAAGACAATTATTTTTTCCTTAGGAGATGTACCCCCCAAATAGAAAAAAATATTTAAGAAAAGTAGACATTTTGCTCTTCAGATTGAAAGCTTATCTTTATTATCTTATCAACTTTCATTCTTCATAGCCAATGCTGATAAAAATGATTAATTACTATACAAAGGCATTTTTGTTGTCCTTGGACAGTGGATAGTGGAAAAGACTACAAATGAGGAGGACTTCTTCAGTCCATTCCTGATTAAGGGCTCAAAGATTTCATGGAGCTTTAGCTCTAACAGTGAGTCTCTTCTGCAAAGAGACAGGCCCTGGAATTTTGAAATGCAGTGTATATGAAAACAAAAACAGGTTCATGCACTTATTGATTTTTCTCTTCTCTCCTGTTGTCTATAACCTGCAAAATGTCCCTAAAACAACACCCAGCTTATGAAAAATAACTGAATGTTACATAGACCAGGTTATATCTGAAATGGTCAGTGGAAGATTCCTGTATTCAAAGACAGAAAGGGGACAGCAGGGAGAAGAAAAGGACCAGTATGTAATGTTTTCTGTTCAGCTATATCCTGGCCACCTCTGGGAGATGGAATGCTTGAAAAATTCTTCTCCTTTGTTCTCTGGCAAAGGTTGCTGCAACTGCAGCTGTGGATACCAGGTTCTGCAGACACCCACGTATAGACCAGTTGGGATGGCACGTGTCAATCAGACCCAGGGACACTGGAGCCACTATGATGCTGCAGCTTTGTGTAGGGCTGCTGAAAGAGAAAGCTGATTGGTCTTCTGATAGCTGGAACTGCTTTGGTATTGAAGAAATAGAATGGATTTTTAAAATAAAACCAGAAGAAGTATGTGTCTCTATAAGATATCAGGCAAATACTCATTGATTTAACGAAATGTGGTTATGCCAAAAGGGAGGATGGTGATGCTCAGATGGAAGAATGGGTCCTTTCCCTGGAAAGTGGAGTTTTATAAGTAAACATAATTCCACAGTCATTGAAAACCAACAGAATCAGAATCTAAATGCTACAGAAGCACAAATTTATAGATTCTGTCAGCTTTATTACAAAAGTCAAAATAGCTTCATTCTACAATACAGTTGCCTTTATGGCTCAAATCAGAAATCTCTACCAATCAAACAAGAAACATGACAGTCACTGAGGATTATTCACACAAACCTTATTGGTCAGTGTCCTGTGTGACACAGCAATGCAGCACTGGAGAACAATAGATGGGGGATCAGATTGGGAAGACAATGAAGCTGCTTATAAGAAGACAAAATCTTTCAGAGATTTCAAAATCCTCCCTTCCCCAACATTTATCTTTAAGAAGTAACTTAGCAAAGCAATAGTCAAATTACTTCTAAAGCTTATTTTCGTGGACTCACTGCAGAATTCCTCAGGCATATCCCTTATAAAAACATCTTATAGCAATCCTTTTCCCAAAGCCCAGCTACAGGAAGATGAAAGAATATCGTGCCAGCTGAGCTAATGGAGCTTTCCCATTTGGGGGACTGGACCTCCGCATTACTTCACAGATCTTGGTGGAAATGGAAGTGGGCCGGTAGATAATTGGGGACTGTCAGTCCTACAATTCAATGAGTTCATAATAACCTTCTGTCTTTAATAGTTATTTTTTACTAATTTTTTAGCATTAGCCTTTTGTCCCTTAAGAATTGTTTTGAGTTCTTATTTTAAGTGTATTTGTTTTTTTATGCCTTAACCCCATTCCAAATTCAAGTGGGATGTCTTTGATGGGTTGCAGAAGTCAATCCTGAAAAAGCTAAATTATGGGACAGGTTTTTCACAATTAATATCTTACCTAAGAAAGTATTTGAAATGTATTCAGACACCTGGTTCCCTGATCGGCTCATCTCTGAGAGGTGTGTCAGCTCCCGGTTCAGCATTCTTTTGAACTGTTTATGAAGAAAAAAAATATGTTAGCCAACTAAAAAAGGAGGAAACTATCACTTTAAATATTTCCAACTTTACTTTCTAGGAACCAAGAGATTGCCCAGGCAGAGACCATTGGATAAATAATAGCAATTCTACAAAATATAATATCCCCTTAATTTGAAATTATTCCAATGATACCTTAGGAAAAAATGATGTTCTTAAGATTTCTTGGAATCAACCTCTGATTTATTTTGGAGATGCAAACACAGGAAAAGTAATTTTAATAGAGGTCAAAATAATTTCACTTGAAAAATGTAGCTACTTTTTATAGAAAATTGGAAATGAACTCTAAAATACAATTTGAGTTGACAACCTATTTAGAAAAGTTTAAGGGAAAAGGAAGAAAAAAACCCTTTAAAAATAGAGGTAATTAACTACAGGATTAAAATACATCACAGTAAATTTAAACACAATGTCCTTACTTCACAAAAAGAAGCCCCAGTGGGTTCAATGAATTCAAAAATTGAATTATTTACAGATGCCTTCTACTTCACAGAAAATACAGCGATGTAAAGGTTTCACATTCTATCAAAGCCACATAATAATCAAATTAACCCACCTTGATGTAACCCCAAGATACAGATAACAAATAGTTTGCCTCAGGCATTTTGGATTCTCCTCTTGCCACAATCCACAAATCCCTTTGAAAGAATTCAGTTCTGAGAAAGCAATCCTGAAAGGATCAGGAAAGCCCTGCAGATCCAGTGGTAAAATAATCAAAATTTAGAAAAGACAAAACCTCCAAAATTTATGGCATTTCCTAATCCAAACAAAGCCCATCTTCACACTTCATTCTTGCAAGAAGCTGATGCTCCCTGATTATTTCCTGGCAGGAGAGAGTAGTGAAATCAGGAATTGCACGAAGGAGCAAGAGCCTGTCCAAATGTATTCAGCTGGCTGGCTTGAAGCTCTCATCAATTATGAATAGCCCTGGTGGCCGAAGGGGTTTCACCCTAGATTCATCCTACTCAGCTGAACTCTGCAAGGAAGCTGCAATTCTTTCCCCGGGAGTTGCCAGACTGGGAAACACAGCCATCTTTTAAAAAAGAGAAGATTAAAATGGAGGAAGCCCCATGAATATTTAAGTAAATCTGAAGTCATACCCTCCCCCATTTCACCTAGGTATTCCTTAACCCTCTCCCTCCACTGCAGACTGACTGCCTTCACAGAGCTCCGCCCTCTAAGTGCTTCAGAGTGATGGTACATCTGATTACTTTACTTTCTGAATATTTTTAAAAATTGGAAAAGGTTAGACCTGTAGCTGTTTTTGGACTAGGCTTCCAGTGTATAAGAATTTTTTTTTTAAGCTATCATTTTGGAGGTCTACTTCCCACTAACCGTGGGCTGATGTATTTAGTCTTTTTTCACGATGAAAGAATGGGAATGGACTTAATTAAGTTCATTTGAAAAGTACTTCATATACAATGTGAAATTTTCTGCTCTCCATCAGCTCATTAACATGCATATTAGATTGAATTGCATTAATCAATTGAACTCATTTAACCTTTCATCTAGGATCTATAGTATGGTAAATGGATGATGGATTATTTGGGGTTATGAGTGACTATGCCTTTTTGGTATTTTAGTGTTACATCTTGTAATTCACATTAGAAATATTTAGGAGTTAAATTTTAATTGTTTTATCTTTGAAACCTAGAGCATGTTGAGAATGCCATTCCTTTCCTATAGGCTCTGCTGTCAGCCCCCTTCTCTTTGTCAGCATTATAGTACAGGCAAGAAGAAAGCCTAAGGCCAGCCCCCTGCTGCAGTGGTTCCTTACCTAGGCAGATCCCATTCCTCTCCTTCCTCTCCTGTTTCCCTACCCCTAGCATCCTCAGGATTTCATGTTCAGTTGAAGGAACAGCAAAGCACCATGGCAACAGCCTGAACTTGTAATTGGCTCTCTTTCCTGGGAGGCAGACCCCTTCCAAATGACCATCCCACACCTCACAATAGCTTCTCTTTAGGCATCCAGGCCTGGGTCATGCCATTGCCTGGGCCCAGGAGACCTGGCTTTTTGAGGTGAAGCCAATGCAAATCAGTGTTGCTGCCTGCTGGCTCATTACACTAGACATTATTCTCAGAGAGACACAATCACCCTCTTTCTGGGTAACCCTGCTTATGTGAGTGTGTGTTTCCCATGAAAGCATATGCTAGTAACAGTAATCAGGCATCTCCAAATCAATCATCTCAGCTAGTTTTGCTTATTGAACCTCCCTGCAATTTTGAACTCCATGTGAATTATACAAATTCCAAGTTATTTATTTTTTAAGATACAACTGCTCTGTCATAATGGCATCCCATCTTCGGTCCTCCAAAGACTGGCACTTACTGAAGACTAGAAAAGACATCTTCTAGGCCCTGCTCTATCTATCGAATTTTAGCAAAGAAGCAGACTTGAATTATTGCCAAAAATATCTTGTAACAAATCTAAGAGATGGATTTCTTCCATAACTTTTTCTGCACCAGACTTAGCCAAATATAACACTCAATTGTCCTCATTTCTGTTCCTTTGGTACTTCTGAGATACTCAGGAAAATTCTGGAGTTAATAAGACTTATATGAGTTCAATAATGCCATTTTATCATGTATTCAAATGACCTGGCAAGGCAATGAAGATAGAGCAGTTAAAAAAAATGAACAAACAGAAATTCTTTTCATGTTTTTAATCAGCTTTCATTCTAGTGGAAATATTCAAATCTCTTGGTTAACCACAACAGTTAACAGTCTGGAGAGTACAAGGATGGTGCTTTATTAGCCACATTGTCCCCTCATCTCAGAAGAACAGGGGCAGGCAGAAATTGACTCACAAAAGGATAGAAGAGGCATATTTTTCTCTTTATTTTTTCTGTAAAATTGCATTCTTACAGAACTCTGTTGGGGTGCATCGTCCATTCATCCCAGTGTGGAAGTAGAGAGATGGCTCTCAGCTATGGGACTCAGAATAAGCCACACTCCTCACCTTCTGTGTCCTCACAGAAGGGTCCATGTACTCATGTAAGTAAACAGATGAATGCCACCTCCCTCTTTCCCAGGCCTAAACTAACTCTCCCATGAGCCTTTTGCTAAGGACATTGGCTATGCCATCCAGAAACAAATTCATCTTAAGGCAGCCATAAAACACACAACATGACGATGGACGCAAATAGAGGTCACTCCATGTCAGAAACCAGCCCAGTCCTTTAAATGTTGCTTAGCAACCACCGTTGGTTTTCCTCCTTCGTAAGGGAGGGCCCAACCACACTGACTAAGGCAATCATTGCTCTCATCAAAAAACACTTATGAAGGGCCCACTTATGTCGGGCTCTGTACAAACTAAGGAAAACAGACATGGACTTCAGGGATCAGATGTGGTATCTGGCACATCCCAGTAAGACAGAGGATGACTGGAAAGATTAGTGGTGGACTATGTGACAAGACACATCAAAGACTGGAACAGATACGTGTTTGCAATGAAGGCTGAGGAGACAGTTGGGGAGCTCAACTTAGTTGGGTTTCTGGTGTCTGGCTCCCTTATGGGAGTTGTTGCCAGGATGTACTACATGAACCTCAGCTTTCATTCTCAGTTCTAGTTAGTGGCCTTGTGAAGTCACTTTACCTCTCAGAAATGAAATGAGAGTCACGGATCATTTTAGGATCTCAGCCTCTCAGCCCTAACCTTTCATGATTCTTGATGACTTTTGTGGCAGCCTCCTACAGTTTGGACATATTATTTACTAGCAACCAATACTTCCCAGGAAATAAAACTCCCTCTACACTACCAAGTAAGACAGCAAAAATAGGAAATGCTTCAATCTATGAGATTAAGTCACCAACAGAGGAAGAGAGGTATTTATCATGTCTCCGGATTTTATAGTCTAAGACTCTTGGAGTCTCTCTGTCTATTTATCAAGTTAGATGTTTAGTCTAGATACAAAGGTAAAATCACTCCTGAGTGAAACTATGTCTCAAGGAGTTACAGGACTGAACAGGAGTAAACATTATTTACTTCATCAAATGCAGAAGAGAAATTCACAAACAGGAGGGCACTATTTCAAAGTTAAATGTGTCTCTACTGTCTAACGTACACAGATCTTATTTTTCTTTAAGAATCTACCTTTCACAAGAAACCCTGTTAGAGCCTACCTAGAAATAATGTCCCCAGAGGAAACAGCCAAAGTCTCTTTTCAACACAAACAAGCAAAGTTTGTGAATGAACCCTTATTACACCTCCCTAAGCTTAAGATTTGCAACACTGCTAAGAAATAGTTATTTTTTGAAAAAGGAAGAAGTTAACTTTTTCTGTATACATGACTTAATATTATTTTCCTAGAATAGTCCTTCTCTATAAAATCATCTGTGACTCTTTTAACTAGTCTTCCTTTAGTAGAGAGAAATTACTTGGAAAAAAATAGAATAACTAGCAATAATAGACATTTAATAACATTTGATATGAACATTTTGTTTGATGGTTTCAACTTTTCGTTAGTTTAAATGCTACTTACAGAGATGATTTTATTCTAAGCTAGCTTCTTTCAAAGTGATGAAACATTTCATCATTTTTTTCTATATTTTTAGCTTAAGGTTTGTGCAAAGATTCCCAGGCACACTAAGGACTCTGTCGATAGTCTAACAAGCTAGTTAAATCACACAGGGGGGATGGGCTGGAAGGATCTCAGAGTCTTCCCAAATCTAAGGTTCAGTAATTCTATGTTTCTCAGAATACAACAATCCAGAACAGAGATAACAAGGAGCGAACATCAAGCACATGAAAGAGTTACTTTTAAAACTAATCTAGGTTTGTTAGGGGTGAATCTTAAGTTATCAAAAATATCCTTTAGCCTATCAACAATTAGATAAAGTGGGTGCTTTCTTCTCAATGATAACCTCCTGATGAAGTCAGTAGGAGAAAATTGTAAGGCCAGGGTGAAAAAAAAAAAAAAAAGGTGCCAAAGAGAGGAAGGCAGCCCAAGTAGTTACT